AAAATGCATGAATTGCCATAAGAATTTCACACAGATGGCTTAATGTCAGGCAGATTTGTCTACTGTTTATATATCGAGGCAGGAGGATCACCATGAAGTAAAATAATCTGTTTGGTTTAATTAAATAGGCAGTAAAACACTATTACATTCCTTTAACATATTTTAGAAAGACATTGCCTCATTCAGCTTTAAAAAGCCAGGTTTTATTTTGGTCAAAGTTCAGAATGATACCCGTGATGCTCTAGTTCCTTTTTTAATCTGAAGTCGTCTTCTAAAACACTAGCAAAAGTTAAATGTATCCAAATTTTATACAACCTAAAAGTGATGAATTGCATAGCCATCCCGACAACCTTTTTTAATTTAATTTGAATAAAGCCAAATCAAAAAGAAGTTTTCCTCATTTTTATGTTCTAGTGTGCAAACTGTACTCTTATTGAGCTTTTTACTTCTCAACTGCAAGAAGCAATTCATACAGTCAGAAAAAAACATCTAAACAGGTGAAGATTTAAGGGTCAGTCATGCATTATATGATCAATTATGTAAAATCCAAGTGGATTTAAATTTCAGTATTTACAAAAGTGATTTAGACCAAGACAAAGGGGCAAAACCTCAAAATGTATTTAATTCAACTCATGACTTTGGTAAAGTCTAGATCAGGGGTTTACAACCTGCGGCTCGAAGCCGCAAGTGGCTCTTTGGTCCAGCTACAGAGACTCTTTCAACCTTTGACCAAAACTAACATAAAACTGAATTTTACTGGTTGTTATACTAAAATTAAAAAGGGTCGTTTTAACAGTCTTCCTGCCATTTTTTTTGTTGTTGCAAAAAGTAGAACAATAAAAAGACTACTCCATACTCACTGTGTGCTTCATCTCTTCAAAGTAGTAAACTTATTTTTTCCACAAAAAAAAAAAACAAAGAAAAGAAAATCATAGGTCTGCACAGTTCATTGTTTACATTTTTTTTTAATTGTTAAAATCTCTAGTTTTCTTTCTTTACAACAATCCAGTCTTTTCTTTTGTCTTAAAAATTGTACAAATATCAAATGTTAAAAACCATTTGATATTTTTAGTTTTAAAAGAAGTCACCCCTACTGGCTAGAAAAGTCCCCTCCAACAAACCTAAAGTGGTCCACGGGTCTGATGTACCAGATTGTTGAACAAAGGGGCATAAATGGGTCTTTTGATTGTAAAGGTTGCAGACTCCTTCTGGTCTAGATGATTTGGACCATGGGTATGATGAACAGGTGCTCTTCTGTGTGTGGGACTGAACACAACGAGGAACACCAAGTTAGTTTGGTAATAATCGGCTCCATTACTTAACAGAACGACGAAGAGATCCTGCTTTTTGATTTGTCTCCGTTTTATTAAAAGCAGCACCATCTCCACTTCCTACTTATGTTTGGCAGGAAAAATTGAAAGAAACTTCAAATCTAAATTTCAACCATGAGCTATCGTGAAAACGCTTCCTGAAAACAAAAAATGGCCTCAATGTGCAATCAAGGTGATGGTGGAAGCTAGAAATGTTGCGTTCACAATATATTGTAAAGACCTTACAATATGAAACATCTAATTTCTACTATAATCCCATATTGTCCCACACAATTGCGCTTTATGTCCCAAAACTAATTTATTTGGATCTGGTCAATCTTGGCTTGTAGGAACAAAATCAAGAGGAATGAGTACAATAAAGTCTGCAGAGTTGGCACGTTAACCTTCATTTTAATGATCAAAAACTATCAGTTTGGACAGGTTGGAGTCCAATTTCTTCCATTAGTCTACTGCTTTAACCGTATATACATTTATTTATGATAATAGGGTTGTGTTTTCCCTCACTGTCCTCGAGTCTGTCTGTATCCACGTGTGAAAACAAAAATGAGCTCGATGTGCGCTCCACACAAAACCTTGTACGGTAGAAGTTTCTCCTCCTTTCCTCTGCCTTGTGTAAATAGGAGCTCCTTGACCAAACTGTGTCCACTGCGTACACATTCAGGGACACGGTCTTTCTCTTTCTTTGACCCTTGTGTTGTGGGGTTACACACACAATAGTTTCACTCAGGTGAAGCCAAAAAGCCAGCTTACCATCTATCCAGCTAATTCCTGTACGTACAGTCATCCCCATCATGCACAACGCATTAACAACACGGAGGGGGCGTCAATATTTGTTAGGACAAAAAATGGGAACGGGGACTCGTTTTCAGCACAGTCCGTGGAGCTAAAAACACCAGATGAGACGAGACGTTGAAGGGTGCACAAAGACAGAAAACAGATAAATGATTTTTAAAAATGCCATTTTATCTCAAAACAAAGCCCAGCTAAAGCAAAAAGACTTCTTTCTCTTCCAAGCGTATTAATTTTAACTTGTTTGTCCTGCCAGTACTTTTTCCACTTCTGTCACAGTGGAGGAAAATAATCATCTGGCCTGCAAGGATTGTTTTTATTTTGCATGGTTGGCTGCTGTGAATGACAAGGCTGCAAGACGTGTCTCATCGAGCTGCATTAAATCACTCATAATGCCAATTAGCAAACTAGTAAAAAGAAAGAATTTTGTTTACATTTTATAATTCACTTGCGTTTCCTAATTAACAATCTAAATGTGAAAGAAAGTGCTATGTATGGTCATGGTCACACAACGAAGAAACTTGGGCTCTGTATCATACATGTGAATCACACAAGTGGAGCAGCATGCAGCCATAAGTGCCCCGGGAGCAGATAAAGAACAGGTGTCCTGCTCAAGGACACCAAGACGTGGGCATGGTGGGGAATCAAACCTAAAACTTTCCAGTCCCAATTTGGCTGCCCTACCACTGCACCACAGCCACCTTCAAACGAAGCTCTGCCGTTAACTTTTTCTTTCTTTTTTCTTTTTACATCAACAACAGAATTTTTAACGCGTTGATTTTATATACTGTATTTTTTTGGTTATGTTTAAAGGATAACCGGTCTGCTTCAGGGTTTTTTTCCCCCCAGTGGATTAATCTGTACAATTTGTACCTCACAGTAGTTACCAAATCTATTAAGAAGGGTTCAGGCATGTCCTGGTCTGAAATAAATAAGCTAGGGCAGCTAAATCAACTCTAAAATTAGAACAGCACCTCTCCTGAATGATGCCACAGCAAAGCCTGAAAACAAGTTTATAGTAATAAGAACAATAAGGCACCGATTGTTTTGCACAAATACCTTTCTGGGATACTTGATACTTGAAATACTTTATATTTGTTTTGAAGCATACAACTCCTCTGCATTCATTTGATACGACTGTAAACATGTTAAGATTGCAACACTTGGCAGATCTCATCGACTGTCTGTCAGACACAACAAAACCTGGACGAGTTTCAAAGACCGGTTCCCTGTGGCGGCTCGTCCTGACTGAGCAAGACAGGAGTCACAGCAGTCAAAATGACGTACCCATAAATGGAGTCTTGGTTATGTAAAGTACGAGATCACACAAGGTCACGGAGGGAGGAGAGGAAATTTGGAGGGAGAAGATGGTGAACTAGTTCCTAGTTAAACAGCAGTTCTTCCCCCTTTTCACTGTTTACACATTCTACATCTCCTGGAGCGACTCTGCTGTTCCCTGCTCAGAAGTGGGTTTATTTAAAGATGATACCGAGTGTGGATGACTGTGACTAAAGGCCTGTCATTCTCCCTGAATATTCAAGTGTACCGTGACTTAGTGGGCAATCCAGATAATCCCGGTAGAAGTCCATGCAAGCAAGGTGACCAGGAGTTAGGACATGTGCCCGGGCATTTAAGCTGCCAACAAGTCCTTCACAAATGGCAGAAAGGCACCAAGAGATAAGGCGCTCTGTGTCCGTACAGTCACATGTCAACATAATTTTATGAGACAAATATAAATTCAATTCCATTTTATCTATATATTGCCACTTCACAACATAAGTCCTCTCAGGGCGCTGAACAAAAGCATTCACGTTCAATGTAAAATGCCTAATAATTAAAATGTTATCTATTCAAGAAAGCATGCAGATTGTGTTGGATCGTCACTGGGTCGCTATCCCATCCTGAGCAGCAAATTGGAGACAGTGGGAAGGAAAAACTCTCTTAACAGGAAGAAACCTCCAGCAGAATCATCAGAATAAGCTTTATTATCATTGCACCAAGATACAACGAGAATATTTCCGTACACTCGTCCGAAAGATGGGCGGAGTGCATGTAGCTGCTGCTACATAGCGCGGCCTTCTTAACCTTTTCAGAATACTTTTTTTTTTTTTTAAGATAGAAAAAATAACATCATGCCCCATTTACATTATTTTTATTTAACAGAGCTAATTTGTCTTCTGATGTAAAAACATTCGATTCTGGAGGAGTGTGGCTTCAATATTTAATTATATTGAATAAAGGAGTATTATATTGAATATAATCAATATTTAAACAATCAGAGCATGCTACACTTTCCTGAACAGAATTAAAAAAAATTATATTAAAAAATCTCATCCTAGGCATTTCATTGTACTGTTGACCTTGTGTTGACCTTGCATATGACAAATAAACACAACAACTTGAACTTGTCAGGCTTTCTTCGTGATATCATGTCGGCAAACTAACAGATAACTGTTCCTTTTGCTTACAGCGCTTTGGTTGGCCTTGTTGCCGTTTTCAGTGCTTTATAAATAAACTGGTATGGTACGTTACTAGTACATTATGGTACATCACTAGTGCTGCAATTTAAAAAAAAAAATAACGGGTGAAATCCAGACATATCACTCAACTCTGTCCAAATCAAGAGGGGAAATGTATATTCATATTGCTGTAATATTGTTAGCTTGTATCATCAAACTTCCAGAAACAGCTGTTGAAAACGTGTGTGTACAGATAAATTTAACCCATTTATATTCATTATTGTGATTGCTCCTCTTTTAACTAAATAAACCAAAACTCAAGCCACGTTGGCATATTACAGCAGATGCCAAAATAATCTCGATGTCCTTTAAAGTAACACAACCATGTTTTTTCCTCTCAGTAGTCTGAGCATGGACTCACCTATCTGCAGCAGCACAGGTGTCACCAACGCCGTCTCCATGGCGTAGCAGAACTCTCGGCCAAACATCACAGCACCGTGCATCACCCATCTCTTCAAGGGGATCCCTTCGATGGATCCTTCGCTCGCCGACTCCTCCCCTCCCCGACCGCCTCCTCCGCTCCCCAATCCATCCGCCTCGCCGCTCGCCGTCGCGTTCTCTTCATCTGGGCCCGAAGCCGTGGGTTTTTTGGCGACAATCTCGCCGACTAGAGATCCGACCTGCATAGTGTCAGCCTCCGTGTTCTGAGGAGGCATGGCGGAGGGCATGCAAGCAACAGAAAACAAGCACCCCCACCCAAACACAAAAAGTCCTGAAAGTCCAACCACCAAGAAGAAAACACCACTTTCTTGCTTCAGTCAAGTCACTCACTTTAAAAACAGGACTTCAATAAAATATTTTCAAGCTACAAACCGTGACCAGTGGATATAACCAGCTGGATATTTAATTATTCTATTGTTAGTGTCTATGTTCAGTAAGTCTTAAAAACACTAGTCTCAACATGCAAGTTGACAAAACTAATTATTCTTGCTAAATTTTAAAATGTCTAAAAGGCTGAAGAAACTACAATCAGTAGATCTAACACAGATTTAAATTGACTAATATTCTAAAAAATTTCAAAATAAAATCAGCAATCGGTTGTCCTCCAAAAAAAAAAACCCACTCCAATCCTTCTTGTTCTCCACCCACAGGTAAAAAAATAAATGAATTATAAATCAGCTTTCCCGTGGCTTGTAGAAAATCTCAAAAAAATATTAGGTAAGATGTTGATTTTCAGAGGAAGAGTGAGCGGTACATTCCAAGAGCAACTGTGCATTTGCTCCTTTTTGTATGTGTCGGATGTTTGTGATGAAGCCTGGAGAACTCCTTCCAATGTATTTGGTTTTTTGGTATGTGTGTGTGTGTGTTTGTGTGTGTGTGAATGGGGTTTTATGGCTTTTTTGTCATTGAGGTTAGTTTTTCCTTCTTACTGTCTATTACAAGCTGTAAAAATCCATATAGAAGACCACTCAGTGAGTTCCAGAGTCATTTTGTGTATAGAAGGCTGGATGGAGGGCTGGATGATCGTGTAGGTGGGGGCGAGCAACAGGTCGCGGCGGGCGGGGGGAGGAGGGCAGGTGGCGATGGTAGGCGGAGCTCCTGTGAAAATCCCCATCGATTGGCTGATCAATCTGAGGGAAAGAAAAATGGAGAGAAAAGGAAAATACCGGTGAGTTGCAGAAATTTAACTTTTTGCTCAACACGAAACAATTTTTTTCACATTTGCTGACATAAATAAAGTACGGATTAGTTCACGATTTGTAATGTGACAGGTATTTACCAACATAAAAAGAAAAAGTAATTTTCTAAAAAGGATGAAGTGCTGAAAAAAAAATTTGTGCATATTTTACAGTTTGCGTTTACTCCTAATTAGTAATTTGCAAGTTGCAAGTCTAAACCTTTTGGTGCATTTGCCAAGCTAGCAAGTAGAGCTCCACAATATATCAAAGATTGGTCACATTTGTTTATTTGTCTCGCTGATATCAATGTGAGAAAAATCAAGATGGCAACAAACTGGAACACAGCACAAACACAAAGAACAGGTATTTATTTTGATTCATTTTACTTTGACAGGTAGTCTCATTTACAATAGATTTGTAACATATTATCAGAATCAGCTTTATTATCATTGTACCGAGATACAGTGAGATTATGTTTGTACAGTCGTCCAAAAGATGGACTGAGTGAATATTGCTGCTACAAGAGCGCTCTCGAGGTTATGTTCTCAGAAGGACCCTTCGCTGTCTTAATTATAGCCAAAACACTAAAGCACACAAGTTTTTCTTATGATTTGCAGCCCTACTATCAAATCTAGTCAATATTAGAAACATCTGTAGCCCCTTAAACCAAATAATACAGAACCTTGCATCTGATCATAAGAATGACCAAAACACTAAACTACCACAGATAGATTGGTAAAGTTGTTGTTGTTCTTTCAGTTGCTCCCTTCTGCAGAGGTTGTAACGCTCGCACAAAAGATTTAGCAGAATTGATTTATGACAAATGGTCTTCCGACGCAACCTAGGCTCAAACCCGGCCTCAGAAGAAAAGATCGTAGAACTGACCACTGAGCAACTGCAGCCCCTAGAGATCTGTGAAGTATTATTTTTAAAAATGGTTATTTTTTTATTTTTAGTTTTTAATCTTCTAAACTGTACATCATGTACGAGTTTGATCCCGACAGATCTTTTGGGTATAATGCAGAACATGGCAGCATCTTGACAACTGCGAGACAGCTCTGTCTTAAAGCTGTTTTCTAATTTCTTCATGTTCTCAAACCAGTTCCTAGGAAGGACAACAGTGTGTCTTTCATGTCAGTCCCAAACAGGCATTGAACGTAAAATAATTTTTGCCAAACCATACGCAAGTTTTTCTCGAAGGCGGGACAGTGGGTATATCGGTAGAAGGATGTTAGAAATGTAACTGTCAGGAAAAAGACAAAGAGGAGATATATGGATGCAGTTGGAGAGAACATGGAGTTAGAGTGAGGACAGAGGATGGAGAGGACAGAGTGAGATGGAGGAGGATGAGTCGCTTTGGTGACCTCTGAAATAGGAACAGCCAAAAGAAGAAGACTAATCCTAATGGCTCCATGGTTCTAGTGTTTGTGTACGAGTTTGTGTTGGGGTTTTCATGGCTTTTTGTTGTTGAGGTTCCCCCTTTTTCCATTTACTGTTCATTAGAATTGATGAAAACTGTCATAAAAGCAAAGTTGTGAGAACATAAAGATCCATTATTGCACCTAGTTAGAAAGAGAGATGATTTAAAACCCAGATTCACTAAACTATGAAACAACACATAAGGTCAATACATAAGGTAAGAATAGAAAAAAGGGGTTTCTGCTGTTAAGCTAGAACAAACCTGCACGCTCGTAAATTTGAGAATGCACCACAAATAAGACACACATCTTTTCTCTTGCGAACAGAGCCCATTTTAAAAACTGTAATTGGTTTGAGCACATGATTCGTCCTCACAAACACACGGACTATGTTTAAAACTGGACTGGAAGAATAAAAGAATGCGATGCGTTGTATGAGCTGAAAGGTTTTCAAATCAAGCTGCTGTTTGAAACAGAGGGCTTGTGTGTATAATGAGAACAAACAGCCAATAATCGTACAGAAGAAAGAAAAAAAAACTAGGAAAAGCCTTTAGCTATTAACAACAACAACAAAAAAACTCTGCGTGTAAATTAACAAGATTTCTCAGAGTTCAAGTTGAAGAAATAGCTTTGGTTAGCTCTTTAGAAATAGGTTTGAAGGTTTGTGGAGGAGTTAAGAGAAATCAGTACGTCAGTCCTCGGCAGTCCATTTACCATTCCAGTTTTAAAAATCTGGGGAAAACTCTTGAGAATTCAGGAATGCCAGCTACAAACAGGAGGTCCTTAAAAAGTCAAATTAATCCAGTGGTTCCCAAAGTGTGAGGCTTAATTCACGTTTATAAATTGTATATAAGCACTTGTGTGGGAATAGGAATGTTGTTTCTTTGACCACAGAATGTTATCTGGCCTATTTGAGCCAATGCATGCTACCGTTTCGTGCCACGTGTTGCGCCGTTTTTTAGTTTTATGGATTCTTCTTTATTTTGTAAAGTGGGGTGTCTGGGACCAGGCCGTTAGAAGTACTCACTGCAGTTCCTCTCTGTTTTTGATATCTCAAACAGATGATTAAAGGTTGTCAACCCAGGTTCATATCCCGGTCTTCCTTCACGCACTACACGGAAGGACATGACGCAGAGTAACAAAAGACATAGCCGGTCACAATAATGGACAGGTTTTTGACTGGGCTCCCACATAAACACAAAGCATCAATTAAGCATCATCAAATATGCTTCCAAATCAACTTCCTTCTAAGCCAAAGAGTAAAAAATAATAATGACGAAGCATATCTTGCCTTTGGCATCTCCTGCAGAAACCGCAGTGTGTCATCCGTCTTAAAACGCTAGCTTGTGACAGTTTGAAGCCTAACAAGCTAAGACACCACTTGGAGACAAAGCATCCAGAGCACAAAGACAAGTCAGTTGACTTTTTCAGACAAAACTCATAAACTGCCATTCTCAACGGTGTCTCTTGGCTAAACCCGTGCAGATGAATGCTCAACACAGCTCGTATAAAGTCACCTACTGAGGGACACAGTGTAAAAAGTCGCAAACAATTGAGGAGGAATTAATACTTCCCTGTGCTATAGATATAGTTTCAACTATTATCGATGACATGGCATCCAACAAACTACGAGCTATTCCACTGTCCAATAATACCATCAGCAGGCGCTTTTATGACGTATCAAAGGACGTAGAGGTGCATGACAGCTGCCACTTTTCTCTGTAGATGGATGAAGCCATAGACAGTAACAAAGAACAAGTTCCTGGCAGAGCCACTGAAGAACTGTTTAAAATCATCGACTCTTACTTGAAAGAGGCCAATCTGAAATGGGAGGACTGTATGGGGATCTGCACAGATGGGGCACAAGCTATGGCTGGGAAACGAGGACGGCTGCAAGCGCTCATCAAGCACATCTTCCCCAACATGCAGCAGATGCATTGCATGATAGACCGCAAAGCACTGGCATCTAAACAGTTGAGTCCCGAACTGAATGATGTAATGACCGATGTCATCGCCACAGTAAACTACATCAAAACACAACCCGTCAAAGGTCGGATTATTTTGGCACTGTGAGAGGAAATTGGCTCTGATCACAGCTGGTTCACAGTGTCCTGAAGGCTGTCATGTGGGAAAGTGCTGTCCAGGGTCTTTGAACTGCGAGATGAGATCCACAATGATCTTGCCTACAAATTTTACTGTAACAAGTCCCTCATGAAACTTGCCTACCTCAGGTGACATGTTTCTGAAACTGAAATAACTGAATTTGCAGACACACACCTCCCACATCCAGCAGATAAAGTCACATTTATCAGAAAACTTGAGATGTGGCAGCAGCGAGCAAAATATGGAAACGTGGACTCATTTGAGAACTTGAAACCATTCACTGAAGACAACAAGCCGCAGAACTCGGTAAACTCATGCATGAAAGCTCATGTCTGCCCATCAGAAACATTTGAGATATTTCCTGGAGTAGGTTTCCTAAGAATATGACTGGATCCATGACCTGTACAGTGCAACACCACCTGACCACCTCAGAGGAGGAATAGTTCATTGATGTCACTTCTGATTCAACACCGAGGCTGCAGGTTTAGTCCAAGACCCTGGCTGCGTTTTGGATTGGAATGGAGAAAGATTACCCACTGATGGGTACGAGAGGCCATACTTCTTCCTTTTGCCACAAGGGGTGGCTGTGGATGAGTGGTTAGAGCAGTCGTCCTCCAATGCAAGAGTCGGGGGTTCGATTCCACCAGCAGTCACATGTTCAAGTGTCCCTGGGCAAGACACTGAACGCCTCATTGCCTCCAATGTTTGTCCTATCGGTGTATGAATGTGATAAAGCACTGATTATTCTTTGTATAGATCTCGTAGATTGCTGTAGGAATGTGTAAATGAGGACACAGATTGTAAAGTAAAGTGCCTTTAGTATCTTGATAAGATAGAAAAACGCTAGATAAGTACAGTCCATTTACAACTTATGTGAGGGTTTTTCTGCTGGGGAAATTTTCTTATAAATCAAAAGGGGGCCCAACAGAAAAAGTTTGGGAACCACTGCATTAAACTATCCTTGTAGTTTTGATTAGAGGCGGGAAGATTTCAGCACCTCACGATCCAGAATGTTACGATTATCAACGATCATAGGGTTTGTTAATAAAACACCAGGAGGCAGCTGGCAGGGATGAAAACAGATAAGACATGAAGTGACACCTGCCGTTTGCTCTCTGGACCAGTCGAGTGCCTATTTTTTTATTTATTTAAATAGTGAATAGTATGTGGCTCATGGTTGCATTTCTGGATTTAAAAGCGTATATATATTAACACCCCAAAATGCACATTGTAATTTTGCCCGATGCCCCACACTACTAAGGCAATCCCATGTGCCGCATAAGGTGTCTTTTTTCACTTGAGCACCTGCCCACTAAAATGTCTGTGCAAATGCATGTCCAAAACATTATGAAACTGAAATACAAAGACATACATGCAAATTGAGATATGGCTTCTTTTTTTTTTTTACATAAATAATTTATTTGTATATGT